AACTGCGGGGCATGCTCTGGTTGACATCGGCGTAGACGCGCGCCATGATGGGTAGAGATCGAGACCGTCGCAGGGAGGCGACGCTGGCGGTAGAAGAAGATGGTGTCGCGGGGCGTCGATGACGGTCGGAACGATAGAGATACTGAAGATGAGAGGTTGAGGCCGAGATACTCGTATATGTCTAATCGAGCCCAACCCAAGGTCTCTAGTCTAGAGGCTGAAGAGGAGAGGTTGGACCTGCTTTGACTTGATTTGCAAAATCAAGGTGGGATGGCATTTCGGGTCGGGTCCAGCCCAGCCCAGGTTTGCCCCGTTGTTTTGGCGGGCGGGCTGGTCTGTGATTCGCTGTAGCGCTTATCGGCTGCTCCGCGATAGCACTGTCGAATGGGCACGAGTGCCTCCAAATCAATCACAAGGCAAATAGATGGTGGCCTGTGCAGTATCTGAATTGAATGGATGCGCCCTGGCTGTTTCTGGCATTAACTTCTAATTGACTACGGACTACTAACCTACATACAGTCTAAAAAGACTTAGAGGCTGTCGGAGAAGCAGTGAAGTGCTGAGGCTCTCCAAGGCCAAAAGGTTGAGTCTGCTAATAAATGTTACTTTATGAACATCTTGTCATCATCTGAATAAATATAATTATCTTATGCACAAAGAAGCTAAGCCTACGGTAGGTCTAGACTATATGTAGACCCATCTCCTAGAGGTATGTAGTTCGAGAATATACTTGTTTTCCTTTCTTCTGAGACCCTGACAACAAGACGGATTTAATATTGATACTAAACAGACACATGTGCGTCACGAATAGGCCTTGAACAAAATACATGGCTTGACATCTACTGGAGTCAAACCGCCTACCTCATCTATTCATTGGTCGTCGAAAGACATATAATACGAACAAGCTGCGTTGTGAAACTTGTCAAAGTGGCCTGATTCAGGCCGTATGCTACACCACGATCATGGTTAGCAACATGAACAAACTGCTTGCTAGGAAGAATACGAATAAAAGCCTCATTTCTCAGAGAGAAGATTAATTGCTCGACATTTCAGGGCTGCAGAGGTGTCGATATCAGCCAAAGCCAATACTTCGTCCACCTCCAGCCCCGATCCGACTAAGGATGACGATACAAGGGTTTTCATCATAACGAGGTTCAAACACACTTTAGGGAGTATCAACTTACAAATCAAAATCTCTTAGTGGGTAACGTTCGAAAGTCCAAAAGCAGTATCCCTTCTACATCCAGGGAACATGCTTAGTCGTATTCCAGCGAGTCCAAGCCCTTGTCCACAACGTCCCAGGTTCGTTTGCGCAAGTCTGGTTTCGGTTCGGGGCGCGGGCGCTGAAGACCTTTCTTCTTCTTTCGTTTCTTATTACTCTGAAAGGAAGCGGGTAATGAGGAAGACATGTTTTTAGTTTGCGTGGAAGTAGGGGTATGATCACTCAAATCCATGGCCTCGCTCGACGGCGCTGTTTCTTTCAAGCCCTGCTGTTTCGCTCTTTCTTTCTCTTTCTCTTTGCGCAGAGTTTCAAGTTCTGAATGTCGAAATATCTCGATTTGCGCATCCGTCAAAGTCCTTTTCATACCATCCGGATAATAGCCCAGGTTGTCGTCTTCCTCCTCCCAGGTGTCGTCAACGGCGTCATCTTGAGTTTGATCATGGGGGGGCGAGTCTATGAATTCAGATCCGAAGGCGGCGACGGCTGTGTGCGAGAAATGGGATTCGTGGAAAGCAACAAGATCATCCTAGAAGTGTCAGTAAAGTATCAAACTGCGCATATTTGGGTATCATACGGGGGAAATGTTGGGTATTACATGCGCATTCGTTGTACTTCCATTATTTGATTGCGGCATGTCTTGGTTTTTCTTTAACGCGAGATCAGGCATGATTTGCGATTTGGCGAGGTTGGCGGAAGACGCGTCCAGGCTGAAATTATGTCACGTGCCAATGCACCTACATCAAGTTCGTCCAGTGTGAAAAGAGATAAATATGTCCTGGCAGCCTGGCTAGCATATTTGGCAAGCAAAGTATGTTGTGAGAAGACAGTCCAAAAGTTTGATGATGGAGCCGGTTAATGCTTCCGCCACCAACCCAGAGCCCATAGATAGCTCACTGTGACCTGAGAAGCGCTAGAGCACTTTCGAAGGCTCTCACAACTTGATCATCTGCAAAGCGTCAATAATTTGGTCAAAGGATGGGACAAAAAGCACGTCGGGCTCACAATGCTGTTGTTTCCGTTCCATTTTGTCTTCAGCGAGATTCACAAAGCGTCGTCGTGTTTGCAGGCGCTTCGCTGCCCGCTCATCATCGTGCGCTGACGCAGACGCAGCCCAAATTTTGAAGTACTCGCCAGACGTTAGTTTCATCAGTCTGTGTCATTGCTCAAAAGAACTCACCTTTGATAGAGCATCTGCCTCCTTCAGAATCTCCCGCTCCCGTTCATCTGCCTCTTGCAAAGCAGCCTCATAACGCGCTTCAAACTCACCCCAGTCAAACGGTTCTAGAGCATCAGGGGTGTCTGGCGGATCAGAGTTGTTGGCTTGTCGATCAACTTGAGGTTCGGGTGTCCTTCTACTAGCGTGCGGATGTTTCTGAATGTTACTCATATTTGTTTCCTCAGGAGCAGGGACAGAAGGTTTGATATCGTCTTGACTGTGACGGTTCTCGCCGTCTTCTTGTAGTGGAAGTGCTGTATCCATGTTGGGCATTTCGCGTTGAATCGCCAGGGGTGTTGTCGGCCAAGCAACAGGGGTGTGTGTTAGGAACGTGCAACACTGTCGAGTGAGCAACCTGATCAACTGTCTTGAGGCGTCGGTAAGGAGTCTTGAATCTTGTATTCCACGGAGTGGTGATTTCTCTGTCAAAGTTGACAGAGTTCAGTGAAGGACAAATTAATTCCCGGTACCTAAATGGTGAAGATATTTAAATCAAATATACTTGCTCACTAACAGTAGAAGTCTTGAAGTGGGTGTTCCTGCATCATTTAGTTGGCTGCCTGTGTGGCTTATGTTCATGCGCCACAGCACCGTCACTATCATTGCTCGACTCGTGACTGCCATCTTCAACCTCAAAGCCTACAAGTCATCTGGCTTTCACTTTCAATCACTTATCTCGGGTTTACAAAGATGCGCCCCGCCTTTCCTATTTTATTACCGGAAGGCTGAACGTGCTTCCCTTGGTCTCCTTAGATCAACAGATAGCGACAACTGCCTTAACGCAAGTGGCAAAGATACAAAGCCAGGATGGACTGCGATATCTGTCATCGCATCCACGACGCAGAGCGTCTCCCTTTTCTCTGTACCGTGGACGCCAGGAACTCGCTTCTTGATGGTCGCATAAACAATGTGGAACTTCTCTTGCAAAACGAGAGTCTCCAAAATGAAATAAACGAACTATTAGATGAGACGAGCACCCCAAACAAGTTTCACAAGGAATCACTACAGGCGCAACAACGAACAGCTGAAGATAGAACGACACAAATTTTGGCCGCTGCCGATAAGCTCAGAAATGACATCAAAGCTGCCAGAGAGGAGATCCAGGCCCGGAAAGCTGCGCTTTCTCGTCGCAAGTCGGATATCGCTGCTGTATCTGGTGGCCTGGTTGAGCGCAGAGTAAAACAGCAAAAAGACATAGAAACGGACATTGGCAGACTTAAGTATAAGTGGTCTCGCAGCGCTGGCGATATGGCTCGTACACGATCTTTTCTCTGTATGGAGGCAGCCCGACTATATGGACTTGAACGTGTTAAAGAAGGCTCTACTGGCAAATATGAGTATTACCTCGGCGGAATTCCCGTTGTTGATTTGGCCACAATGAACTGTAGGCTCTCCCACGACTCTTTCAACTATATACTAACTCCTTTACAGCATCAACGCCAGAGATGATTTCAACATCTCTCAGCCACATTTGTCATATCCTCATGCTCGTATCACACTATCTTTCAATCCGTCTTCCTGCGGCAATTACTCTTCCTCATCGCGACTACCCACGGCCAACTATCTTCAATCTCTCTGCTTCTTACAGATCTGGGGATCCAGTATTTCCTAGTCAGGCAGGAATAGGGAATCCTTCTCATTCCGGAGACACAGAGTCCCAGCGTGTTTCACGTCCAAGACCTCTTTTCATTGACAAGCCACCAGCGCTGTTGGCCAAGGAAGATCCAGCAACTTTCTCATATTTTATAGAAGGTGTGACTTTGCTCGCCTACAACATCGCCTGGGCTTGCAGTACGCAAGGTGTTTCGATAGGTGATAGGACTCACTTTGAGGACATTTGCAATATGGGCCGCAATTTACACGAGCTCCTCACAAATCACCAAAATGTTGGTGGAAACCTCTATCCATTATCATCTAACAAGAAGGATCCGAGCGCATCTAAGAATGATACCGATGCCCAAGCCAGCCGCATGGGACAATATTCCCACGGCACAACTTTCTACTACCTCGGCGGAGCTGAGGGCACCGAGTTCAGTAAGACGTTCAAGCTTCCCGGTCCGATCAAATTGGCCGACAAGCTCAAGAAGAAGCTGCTCAGCGAGGCGCCTGCCCCTGACTGGGAAGTTCTGGATGATGATGCATGGAAAGTTGAAGAAGAGCTTGTGGATACGAATCAACCCAACAAAGACTTGCTAGGTAGCGATAAGAATTCCCCGCGTCGGGGAACGAGTGGGTGGATGAAGGTAAAGAATAGATGATATTGTTCTGTCAAGAACAATGAACAAGTAATTACTTGCAATTAGTTTAGATGCTGTGAAGATAATACGAGTAAATAAAGAGATAAAAACCTTTCCATCTTAAGTAAATTGCGTTTATTTATTGCCAAAGCATGCCAGCTAGTATATAAACTTGATTTTATTTTATTACTTTATATTAGTATATCCTAAGATCGAGCATAAAGTTATCTAGGTAGGAACCTCGCCTACCCACGCTCTGTTGTTCTCTGCTACTCGCAGTATAAAAATAATATCAGCGCTTCAGTACCTAGGACAGCGAAAAATGTGGTTCCGCCCGGGATCGAACCGGGGACCTTCTCGGTGTTAACGAGATGCCATAACCAACTAGACCACGGAACCGTGCTAATCGATATTAAAACAACCGCGAGATTACGGTGAAGTTGCAAACAAATGCGAGGTTTATTCACCTGCTCTAGGGTAGCAAAAGGTACAATATTTTAGCTGGGTTATGAGATGAAAGTACATTATTTTCATAAATAAGTCCCTTGCATTCTGCTTGGATTGGATTAGGTGTCTAATGCTTACCTATAAGGCTTATATTTACAATGGTGGCGATGCATTGGTCGCGAATATCCATAACGGTGAATAGAGAGGTACTACATGGAAATCATGCTAAGATATTAGACTGATGGAAGATTATAATAAACAACAACCAAAAACACATTCATTGTATTGATACATTTATTCGTATAGTCTTACACTGAGTCATGCAGCTTGGAGAGATGTGCCATAGTCTGCTCGTCATAATATACAGGATTGTACAATATGCTTCTCTTCCCCGCCGTTTTATTTCCCAGATTTTCCAAACAAAGATGCAATGTAATCCCCAAATGTAGATGTCCCCTCTGCCTGTCTCTGTTTTCTCTGCTCCGCCTGTGTATCCCAGATCTTCTGAACGCTGCCGGCAACCTCAGCCTTAGCCTGGAGATCGGCACGAAGAGCAGCCTCTTCAACCGCACGTTCCTCAGCTGGTAGCTTATCAAGCTGTTCTTTCCATTGTTGTTGAAGTTCTTCGGTGGGCATGACCGCATCTTTCTTGGCTTTTGGTAATGTTGTCTGGAAGATCGGAACGGGCAGTCCTTCCGCCTTAGCCTTCTCGACTGCCTCCTCGTGCTTGATCATTCGCTGATAAAGAGAGTCGGCGTGCATTTGGATATCCTCTTCCACCTCAGGCGATCTGCCCACCACTGACCCATGTCCCAACGCTCGAAGAAAACGCTAAAACAAAGTTAGAAATAGGATGTTAAGTGAAGCGAATGTAGACAAAATACTGATTGCATCATATAACACCTCTCGAATCTTCGAACTTGATGCCTACACATCTGCATTTGATCCTCCCAGCTTCCGTGCTTCATGCAATTCACCCACTCCTCTTGGTATTCCGCACAGTTTTCCAATGCCGCCTTGCCAATGGCCTCTTTTCGTTCCTTGTATGCCTCCAAGACGCTCATTAGCTTCTCGTGATCGGTTGCCGTCTCTGCCTCGATCTCGGCGAGCGGTTGGTAGTTCTTCCAGAGGTGGGCATATCGACCGTCTTGATACAGGCTTGCCGAAGGTACGACTGGCTTCTGTGGTTCTGTAGCTGTCACCGCTGCATCGGGATTTCGGGGCTGCTGATTTGCTGGAGGAGGATTCGTAGGTTGGTTCGAAGGGTATTTGAGGGGAGATTCTTTCTCCAGAAAGTCGCGAAGGCTTGGATCGAGTTTCGAAAGAGGGTCTGACGACTTGTCGGTACCAAGGACCGAAGATATCCAACCCATTGTAGCAAGTTTGTTTCTCTAAACTGGCGCCAATCTACGGGAAAAGGGTTGGAATTGAGTTCGAAGCTGGACTTGAAGTTGACACTCCAAACTATAGCTTCAACTGTGATAAGTGGACGTAAGAATTTCAGCGATGCACTGTACGCAGCACTGTATACCAACTCCATTTTTTGTAGTTCATCAGGCAAGATTGAATTCATAGGGTCCAACGATTTCAGCTGGTTCGACATCATAACATCAAGCACTTAGTTCAGATGGGAATTCTTCATATCATTGTCATAACTATTTCTTTTATTCAGGCGAAATGGCACCTCATCATCAAACTTCAGTTGCATCTATCATGAACTGGAATCTTCACCACAGACACAACCGCATCACAAAGGTTAAACAACAGTTCCTCACGGCACTGGCATTTTTTGGTCGGCGAATAGTCAAAGGTATGAACGTAATCTTGAGATCATGACGACCCTTTTCCTAGCCATATCACGCCCGATCGAACCATCAACCCAAAACAATTGTCTTCGTGAATCCTTTTTTATTCGCGATTGCATCTATAGCACAATCATTTGCAACGCAACATCCGGTGCCCGACCCTTCAGGAGAAACTTCCCATCTCTCCTGATGCTTATCACGCCGAAAAAAATGCCAGAAGAAAGTCCCAACTTAAAACTTAGAGAACTTCTTAACAGCCTTGCCAGTTCGGGGCAGGACACGCAGGACGTTGAAGCGGACCTTGAATCATGTTAGCGATCATCCCTCATACCAGATCTTTCGTTCTAAACGTACAGTCTTGCTGAGGGGTCGGCACTGGCCAACGGTGACCTGGTCACCCTCCTCAACACGGAAAGCGGGGGAGACGTGAGCGGCAACGTTCTTGTGTCGCTTCTCGTAACGAGAGTACTTGGGGATAAAATGGAGATACTCTCGTCGGATGATGATGGTGCGGTGCATCTTGGTGGAAACGACGGTACCGGTCAGGATACGGCCACGGATAGAGACGAGACCGGTGAAAGGGCACTTCTTGTCTGTAGATCCAGATGTTAGTGATGCGCTCTAACGTATATTTTCTCTGCGCAAATCCCTCCCAGCACGCTCGATTGATTTCGTTGTCTATGTGTCCATCGTTTGGCAAAATTCGTTTTCGTGTGCTTCTCCAAGTCCCAAAATCTCAAATCTGTCGAACGTACCAATGTAGCTGCCCTCAATGGCGGTCTTAGGGGTTCGGAAACCCAGACCGACGTCCTTGTACCATCGTCGGCCACCCTTGCCCGGTCGGGTGCTCTTGGTCTTGGTCTTCGAGTTCTGGAAGATGTGAGGCTGCTTCTGGAAAGCACGCTCCGACTGGACGGTCAACTCGGTCGCCCTGATGCAAAGGTTAGCGACTCATTCGGTTTCGACATCGTGTATTCATTCGGTTTCGACGCTGCAGTTGGGCTGGACTGTCACTGACATCTTGAATTATCCTTCTCGGGCAGGTACCGTAACGAGATGGCGTGTGGTTGAGCTGGGTGAGGCGAGGTTGAGATTGGCTATGCTAGGCGGAAGGAGAAAATAACACCAATTTTTGCGTGCCTTCCTTAGGTAAGGATAATTAGGGCTTGTAATTTTCGCGGAGCAGGTGCCAGACACCCACGTGATTTTACTGAAAAATGCTGTGGCTCAAGTTCACGTGAGCAGGCGCGACGTAGGAACTAACTATGGCTGTGATCGAAAGTGGGCCATATGAAGTTGATCGATGTTGGCTCCACTCTCCCCCCTGGCAGCCAAAGTAAACAAACACACGCGAGATAGCCAAGTCACAGCCCACTATCACTTATCGTCGTCGCGCTTCATGTTGGGGTTAGACTTTAGACTCGACAAAACCCAACAGCTCAATTACGCATGATGGCGCCCGCCGATGCAACTTTGCCTGCTACAAGGCGCACGCGAAGATCAATCGGTGCCCATACAGATGTTAACAAGGCGTTCGAGAAAGAAAATGCGACCGTCGACGTCACAAGTTCGTTGGCCGCGAGTCGCAAAAAGTCGAGGAGCAAGAGTTTAGGTCCTGGTGGCTTGGATGCTCTCATGAAAGCCAACGGAAACAGACGAGCTGTGAGACATGATTCTTGTATACTCCATACAGTAATAACTAATAAATTCAGTCTCTTGCAGTCCCATCAAGAGCCCCGCGCTCAATTCTCAAACAAACCATGCCGATACCTGAAATACCGCCTATGAAGCCGAGACAGCCCGATCTAATTGACTTTGGAGAACCAACAAAAGAAGTTTCGACTCCGAATAGCGCGGATAATAGCGGCTCCAAGATCGCAGTCAAGACAGAAGAAGAGCAGCAAGCTGCAGCTCGGGAACGAGAGGAGCGTGAGCGTCGCGATGCTCGTCGCAAATCTCTTGCAAACCGTCGCGTATCTTTTGCTGCCGAGGCAACTCTACACACGTTTCATGAAGTTGAGTTTAACCAGGACTCGACGACATCTACCGACTCAACAAGGCGAAACTCAGCCTTTTCCAATGCCGCCGCTCAGCAAAAGGAACGCGATGACGAAGAGAAGAAGCAGAGACGAAGTTCCGGACTCCCACCAGTCAATTTCCACAACTCCGAAGACGACACTGCGACAACGCTCTATAGTTCAGATTCCGAGCCTGCAGATGGAGTCGAAGAGGTTGCCGATGTTGAGGAAGATGGCGATGATGATAGCAGCGAATCCGACGATGGAACGATGATGACTGTCGATGATGTGACCGGAACAACAGCTGCTTCAGATCGATCGGTCGATTCCGATGGAGAGTCATCCACCCTAGATGAAGCACTCAGACTGGCTGCGCGAAGAGCTGGCAATCAGCATCTCCAAGATGAAGAAGACGACGACCTTGACGAGGACGAAGAATATATCCCCATGTTTGGATGGGGCAAAGAGAACAAGAACAACATTGCTGCACAAGATCAAGAAAATTTACCCCCTCCAGCTCGGACTCAGCAAGCTCAAGCAATGCAAGATACGGAGGACGCTACCGAAACCAACTTGAGTATGGACATGGATATGGACATGACACGCGCAGTCGGCGGTATCATTAAGCCCAAACCCGCACAGCAGTATGATCCCGATGAGGATATGTCTATGGACGTCACTCGTGTAATAGGGGGCATCATCAAACCCCAACCTCCACAAGAACATAATCCAGATGAGGATATGTCTATGGATGTTACGCGTGCATTTGGTGGCATTGTCAGCCAGCCCCAGAGAACCAGCGCTCACAATGACGATGAAGAGGAAGAGGAAGAGGACGCCCCAATGGAAGAGGCTACCATGGAGTTCACAACCGCAATTGGTGGTATCAAACGTCCAGCGCTCGAGCAAGATGAGGGGTCAGACGGCAACGAAGACATGTCGATGGAACTCACCACTGTTATAGGCGGAGTCCTGTCACAAAAGAAGCGGAAGAGCATAGCTGCTTCTCGAAGGCGTACGGTCAACCGTGCCGAAAATGAAAATGATGATGATGATGCCCCCATGGATATGACTCTTGCAGTTGGCCAGATCCTGTCAAAACCCGGAACTGACCATTCAGAAGACAATG